TTCTATCCTTAAATATGATCAATATGGTTGAAAATGGGCCCATAGTTGAGCCCAAATACGAGTCTGTTCATGCCAAATATTTTTGGCACAATGGATATATTTTCATTAATTCGCCAGGGTCGTCTTTTTATCAAACGTCGCAAGAAGCGACTATACAGGTTGCGTTCAACCACAGAAATTATCGAACAGAGCTTACATGATAGTAATAAACCGAAACAGAAAAGCCATATCGTGATTCGTGCTGACTAATAAAATATTAATATTGCTGTTTATTGTCGTGCATATGAAGATTTAGATAAGAGAAAATGCTCATTCTCATTTCGTCTATTTTTAAATACAACTGGAAACATACTTTAGAATGAAAAAACATAATTGAGAACATACATCGTTCAATAACACAAGACATACACAACACAAGAAATATATATATCACTATACTGAAGTAATTTTAGGCCCACGAAAACATGACAAAAAGTTTAATCTTTTTCGACCGTAGTATTTCAAATTTCCCATCATAAATGCCAAGAATAAGAATGCGACATGTTATCGAGAGGTAGATTAACGTGAACTTCAGGACATTGACTGTGGTTTCGTGATCGAGATAAAACAAAGAACAAAAGACCGACGCTGAAAATTTCTTATTTGCCAAAGCATTTTGTTGGCAAATCTATGTAGCCTATGGCGCATACGATATCCGTTTATATTACTTAGGCATTAGATAGACGACCAAAATTTAACAAGACTACCTTAGTTGAATGCTATCGGTAAATAAACAACACGTATATGACGCCCTTTTAGGTATTCGGTACCTATGTTTGGCTTCCTCAATGGTATTTTAGAAGCAAGTAAAAATCACGGAATGAAAGCGCTCTTATGTCGCCCGAAAAAGCTTTTTCGTGTGCGGTTTTAATAAAACATAGTTCATCCGTCGGCCCACAACATATATAATAGAGTTCAAGAACGTAAAGGATAGAAAAAAGGTTAAAAATTTCTTCGTAGGCAACGAAGAGCGAAGTATCACTTGAAGCGAAGATGAGACAAATCATCAATAACTTTAACTCAATCATAATTCGTTTGATATCGAAGCATTCAATGGTTCCATAATCTAAAGATGACACCAAATCGTTCAAGTATACTTACAGAAATGTACTTCTAGTAAAATGGACAAAAGGCTTCTTCCAGTAGAAATAAACAGCCTGTGTCTCGTAGCTTCTCTTCGTTTACGAATTCGAGGTCTTTGTGTTCAACTCGATCTTTACTGGCACTAGTGACGTCATCAAATTCGTTTCGTCATTGGTTCACAGAGTTCAACTCATTGAGTTCTATAATAACTGGAGCGGCTATCTTTGCTGGGGCGAGGTCGCCAAAAATGGCGGCCAACGGACGTATTTCCGCTGAAATGATCGCTTTGCAGAAAATAATATTCTCGACCTCCCTGGTGTCTAAGTAAATTATAAAGAATTTTTCCAAAACAAACACGATATCACACGGATATGGATATCGTTAGTTCCATATTCTGTGACGATTCTTTTGGCATTTCTTTATAATGCCAACACTTCAATCGTTCAATTGTTGGATGTCGTAGTTTCGAACATATCGCTTCTCACAGGTGAGGTAGTTGTTTGTTTTGTTAGTCCGTCAACGATTGAAAAGCAATTATACATGCACTTGAAAAGCCATAAAATACATATTAAAGATCGTATTTTTTAAGACTGACTTGAACGCCAAATATACTGATGTTTTCCTGTTTTTGTCTATAAATTTCTGCATACTTTTCTGTCATTTGTTAATGCATGAAATCGTAAATTTACCTATTTGCAAAATAGTTTCCTAAAGCAAAAGACCCTGCACACATTTGCTCTGTGAAAAGTATCAAGAAGAAATGATCAGCCCCAACAGTACCCATGATTTGGAGGAAGCTTGTTATGTTGTATTTGCTGACAACATGCAGGGAAGACCAAGTAAAGATGACTGGAAGATGTTATTGATCAGGCAGAGTCTTAAAAATGATAATGCTGTAAAGATAATTGATTTATTGTCTGCCTTATCCAGAGTTATTTAATTTGATCATGGTCAAATTCTATGGATGGAACAATGGATTCATAATGATGCCTTGAATGCTTTGAAGTTGAAGTTCATGAACCAAAAAGATGGCAAAGAAGGTTGTGTGTTTTGATGCTTAATTAAATGTCAATTCACAACATATAAAATGGAAAGGCCATAAAGTTTGTGTCTATGTAAACATTTGTACTGAGATTGATGATGACTTGATGCAGATGTGAAGCATTAAACTGAATAAGCCATTGGGTTTTATAAAACATAATGTTTAAATCATGGCATATCTTTATCAAAATATTTTAGTTAGTGTTGTTTTAAATGTTACTAATATCTAATGCATATACTAGAAGCATTAAAGATTCAGTGATGAAACCTTTAAATTTACTGTACTGTATATTTCTTATATATTTCTTATATTTCTTTAGAAACAGTTTGAGCTTATTTACCTATTAGAGTACAGAATGGGGATTTATCATATGCATCATTGCTGCTTTTAAATAAATGTTTTCACTCAGCTTTTCTACAAATATTTTGCTTCTTATTTCTTTTCATGAGATTGATGATATAGAGGTAATATAATCCAATAACTTTATAATTTCTAGAAAGCTGTTAAGCTTCTAGCATAAAAAGTACACTATAGGTATTTAATTCATTTGGTTTTATTGCCTTGCTATGACATATCTACTTGCACTTCATCATTCTTGTATGAACAAAACACCAGATGTGGATACTCAGAGAACAAAATGCACTACCAACTGCTTATGAAATTTATTATTGAAGTGAAAACTGTTTTAATCATTCAAATTGTGCACTTATATTGAAAATATAGGAAAAACAAAACAAAGTGAAAAATAAAAGGGTAGAAGTATTAAAACTAAAATGAATTATAAACACCATTGGAAGCATAAGTGTTTGATGATTATTTGCATTTTGCCCAATTTATATATCAATACAACAAAATCAAAATGTGCTACAACTTTACAAGTATTTGATGCAGTTGCACTTCAGAACATCACAAAAAGGTTACTTAAAGTAATTTCTATACAATATTGTTTGTTTTCATTTACCAAACCTATGCAGACTTGAGTCTTTTTGAAATTTAATATGAAACTCAATTACAGAAAATACGTAAATATCCAGAGATTTAATATTTACTTTTTAAAGAAACAAGTAAAAGAAGCAAAATAGCAATGATAAAAAATAAGCTAACTTCTCTCTCGTGAACCACTGTGGAGATGAACTATGATATACTTTTTTGTATAGACTAAAGAGTTTAATCGATCAAACAAGTTTGACGCTGGTAAGAAAACGACGCATATCTGCATTCATAGATGTGTAGCCGACATATAGCTCTTTCATCGATAGTTATAAATACATCCTCGTAGGAGCCGATAACTGGAAAGCTATGTTGACTCGCTGTTACGAATTGTAGGTTTTTATCGTGATTTTCATCAAAAAATTGCTTGCCGAATCCCAAATACACATACATTTCTTCACTCTTTCCTCAGGAGGTGGAAGTGTGAAATTTCGGAAAAGCGGTCAATTTCGGTAAATCTCAGCGGCAACGGACGAAATCCGCCATTTTTGGCGTCACCAGATATCTAAGGCCGCGCTTGAGATAGCCGCTCCAGTTATTATAGAACTCAATGGTTCAACTGGGATATATCGATGTCATTTCGTCGGTCTCATGACAACACCCACTTTCCAATTTAAAAATCTAAAATCAGTCAACAAAAAGGAAATTCGCGGCTTGATGCGACAAAGGAACTTCTTTAAAATCAAGACAACTTTCATCAACAAAATTCTTTTGTCGCATTACTTAACTTCGTGTCAATGACGTGCTCACGACTGTCATTTACGAGATCGGCTTACTTCGTTAATGAAAGCGCTTTTTTCATGTTAATCAATCAAGTTAAGTCGTAATGTTTCCTGAATGGAAGTAACAACATGACCTCGGCGTGGGCTATTTAGAGAAAGGAAGTTCTTTATTCAAAGCTTTGTGGCCGAGTCTTCTATGCAGTATGCCTTTCATTCAAATAAGCTAGACTTTGTCAGGATGTATTAGCATATTCAAAATATATGCTTGACTTTCTCAAAATATACTTCACTTTCTCTTTGGGCAAAATCTTTGTTTGCATAAAATCAAGTATTACAGAAAGTAAAAGTCGTCAAAGTTTTAAGAATTTTCTCAATTGAAACATAAACATTTCATCGCACATGTATTTTAATATAAAAGCAACATTTTCTTATAAATGCTGTCGTGGAATTATTCGAAGAAATATTAACATATTAGAAGGGGAAATAAGGTGAATTTTCTTGTAAATGTAGTCGGAAAATTGTTCGAAGAATTTTTTATAATCTTAGAATGGGAATTACTTTGAAATAAAACACACACAAGTTACATTAAGCTATGATAAATAAGAAAAAAATTTCTGATATAAATTTTAACAAAATATAAACGATTAAAATTATAAAACTACACAAATATAACATTATAGGATAAGCTATACAATTTTTGTTTTTACATTTCTTGCGACTTTAAAACATAAATTCGTCACGACTAATTAGATAGCATGAATGTCATTATTTGTGTCAATCAAGAAAAGAACGTCGAATAATCCAAGTTTATGCCAACTAAAGTTGAATTTCATGCACATTTACCTGGTAGCAGGCAAAATATACAATGCTGTTTCTCTAAATGAGTACAGCCCAAAGGACACCACTTAAGGTAAAAGTGATATTCAACGTGAGAATCAAATCGTTGCTTTCTGGGGATACTGAAGAATGCGAGAAGAAAAAAAATGGTCGCAAGCCTCTAAATAAATCACAATTCCTTGACTGACAATGATGACATAAACCTAGACATCTTGCAGAAATCATTCAATCTGGTTGATCGAGCGGGATTCCACCGAACACACAATGAAAATCGAGAAAGGGAAGAGAATAGTTGAAAATTTGTTCATGTGTGAGAATGACGACTATCGAGCACGTCGCCCGTTTTGTCGGCCGTGCGGGTTATTTCGGTCGCCCATCTCGATGTCGTACGGTGGGGGAGGCTCGTTGTTAACGAAACCTGGGTTACTGCGGGGATTACGACGTAAGGACATTGTCCTCGCCTTGGGTTTGTTTGGATTACTGCTCGGTGTGGCGACACTACAAACTTTGATGAAACCTACAGAATAACAGAAATATTGGTCAGAGTAAATCTTTCGAATCGAACTTGCAAATCTGCAAGTTGCTGTGGTAGTTGAAAACGTGTATCGCATCCTATAAGATGCCAAATGCATCACTACTTTCCTTCCTTTCAGTATATTTGTTGCGTTTTTCCGCAAGCAGCCGGGAAAAAATTACAATAACACCTGTGTAGTCTAGGGTCCTAGTGCTAACTATAGCTGCGTTATTTTCTTCAAACTTATTCGTTCAAACTGAAATTGCTCAAACATTCTAGTCTGTAAATACTGCAAAATGTCATAGGAGAAGTTAAAATTTTATACTTTTAAGTGTACATAAGGTTTTTGGACCAGGGTTTGCAGTTAGCTTCGAGCAAGGTGGCGCGGCTGCCTAGGATCCAAACATCTCACACTCGAGCACATTCCTTCATTTCTTCATGATAAAATAAGAAGTTTAAAAAACACTCAAAAAAAAAAGTCCGAATGGATGAGCCTAGATCCTTTGCAATGAAACTTACCAGCCATCAGTATAATAAGACCTAAGCCAATCAGAATGGTAGCCCACCAGTAATCTTTGACCCAGTCCACGAGATTCCCAATAGCGTCTCCTCGAAAATGAGATTCTTGATGCGTTCAAGTGGACCCTCGAGTCGACAGCTCGACATTTGCGAAGAATGTCACAATATCCTAGGAAGTTGTTGCACGGTACCAGGTAATAGATGCATTTTTCTTTACCAGTTTCTTCAAGAGGTGAACAGACGCCATTACTCATGCAGCAAAGCATGCATTGATTTTCCTTTTCAGTGCACTGGCATTCGCTCATGTTGTGTTTCAAACAACGCGAGCCCGTGCATTCCTGCGGAGGCAAAAAAAAAAACATTTAAAGATACGCATATTAATATCCGTTCTTATGAAGAAGTAAAGTTATCCATAAAAGAATCCATTTCAAAACACTGCTCCGTTTGACTTTAAATTTATGCTATAACACGCTTTGGAAAAGAATACTTCACAGACAGCTTAAGTAAAGATCGATGGCGGATTTGGGGTAGATCAAAATACATTGTAAAGCTCCTTTGAATTCAAAATAGTTGGTAAAATTTTCAATAGAATTTTAGAGCTAAAATACTGTCAATAGGATTTGCTCTAAAGTATATTAAAACTCAAGTAATGTTAATATTTTCATTAATGAGTTAATATAGTACAGGAAATTAAAATAGCCGTTTTCTAGGTGCTCTCACCCTTTGAAGCAAACACCTCTATCGCCATTACAGTCGGTGACATTGTCCATTTGGTCACAGTTGAGGACAGGGTAGCATTCATGGAACTTTAAAATTAAGGAATGAAACAGAGTATATGGTATCGCAAGGACGGCAATTGTAATTGTTTTGTACAAAAATTGCAAAGAACATTTTACAAGATGAAGATCGATGATACAGTTTATTCGTCATAAAGCATTTCATCTTTCCATAAAAAAACATGTTTACTGTTGTTTATCAGAATAGTCAATATGTGTTTACCTTAGCCTGTGAAAACCGATCTGAGCTCAACCAATCAAATCAATCAATGATCAATCAATCAAAGAGAATTTACAAATCAATCATGAATGCATTTCAGAGGAAAAATTTAAACGTTTGTTTTAACTTTGTCTGTTTCACATTATTCTTATTTCATAAAGAAATAAAAGATGCTTTTCGTGTTTGCACTCATATGCAAACCTCGGAAACGTTTGTGAGACTCTCGAGCATGTGCAACCCTCGACCTTCGGTGTTAGGCTCGTATACTGATCTGCTCTCGAGTTCTCCCAAAAGATCACCTCGGTTTGCAAAAGCCTGTGCAAAACACAGTAAACATTTTATATTTCTTAAATGAAGCGTATCACTAGATGAAAATGGAAAGATCCATTCTTCATTAGAATTTCATTTTCAGCGAAAAGAAACATGCTTTGATTACGTAAAGATGAGGCTATCTATTCATCAACGAATAACACTGATTCCCTCACCTAATTTTCTACAATACAAGGACAATATTGGGCGAACTATTATCTGACAAAGTCTGCACTTGGCTTTGTCTGTTTGCAAAATAATCAACGACATTATTGTTGGGTTCTCTATAAACAGAAGCGCGATAAAGGATACTTGCAACGCGTGTCCTCTATGCAATCTCCGTTTCGCATACGGTATCATTATTTTGAATTGGCATGAATCATTGCAACAGAGGCCTTGACTTGGACTAAAAGAAAAATACGATACAATGACTAATTAGAGAAAAATAGATATTTTATGTATAAGAGTTGGTTAATATGAATAGTAACGTTAATATGAAGGTAGAGACAGACTATTTTGATGTATGATAAGTGTTGGATATGATAAATAGTAAGGTATATGAAGGTACTTATGGATAATTTTAATGTATAATAAGGGTTGTTATGATAAATGGTAAGGTATGTGAAAGTACTAAAAAATTAAAACAGAGCTAGAATTCAGTTAGAATTTTGTAAAAGATAAAACAAAATGTGACCAGGTCATGAGTTACAACAAAAACTGTAGTGCTACATCAGAGTTACAAATAAAATGCTAACTTTGTCATATAAGCTTTAAGTAGGTCGTGTAGAAGCGCCTAAACAATGTGAGTAGCGTAAAACATTTTAGTTTGAGGAGCTGAAGGTTAGCTTGAAATACTGAAGCATTTGTGTAAGTAATGAACAAAAAAATTAAAACTCATTCCTAACATCAATGCTACTTTATGTTAACTTTTGTTTCATGGAATTAAAATCAGTGAATGTAGAAATTCTTCAGTAACAATATATACATGTGTTTATCACATTAAATTTAGTACTTCAATCCTACCTGCATTTGGCGTCTCCCTTTAGTTTACAGCTGTGTACTGTACCATTCGCGTGATTACAACAATTGTCATTGCAGTCATCGAAAAAACCACAGTCACATTCTTCGCCATCTTCCACCAAATTGTTGCCACAAATGGCTTCACGGTTTCTGACAAAAGATTGTTTACATGAAGTAGCGACCTACGTATATCCATCACAATACACACAAGACGCGTATACGCGTTAAGAGCAAGTGGATGAAATTAATGGCGAGTGGTAAAATCACAAATTTAACGTACGTTTGAAACAATCAGCTTTGGCGGCCAGGACAGGTGAAATGTAATCGATGCTGCACTTCGAGAATTTTCTGTTGTTAGGGTCAGTTCCTGACGTCGCCTTGGGAAACATGATGTAATTGCCACCAACCTGAGAACTGCATTCGGACGAGTCGTGCTGGTAAATATAATGGTTAAAAGTGAGTATGGAGTGAGGACTGCATTCGGACGAAGTCGTGCTGGTAAAATAATGGTTGAAAGTGAGTATGGAGTGAGGACTGCATTCGGACGAGTCGTGCTGGTAAAATAATGGTTGAAAGTGAGTATGGAGTGAGGACTGCATTTGGACGAGTCGTGCTGGTAAATATAATGGTTGAAAGTGAGTATGGAGTGAGGACTGCATTTGGACGAGTCGTGCTGGTAAATAAATGGGTTGAAAAGTGAGTATGGAGTGAGGACTGCATCCGGACGAGTCGTGCTGGTAAAAATAATGGTTGAAAGTGAGTATGGAGTGAGGACTGCATTCGGACGAGTCGTGCTGGTAAATATAATGGTTGAAAGTGAGTATGGAGTGAGGACTGCATTTGGACGAGTCGTGCTGGTAAATATAATGGTTGAAAGTGAGTATGGAGTAGAGGACTGCATTTGGACGAGTCGTGCTGAAATAAATATAATGGTTGAAAGTGAGTATGGAGTGAGGACTGCATTTGGACGAGTCGTGCTGGTAAAATAATGGTTGAAAGTGGTATGGAGTGAGGACTGCATTTGGACAAGTCGTGCTGGTAAAAATAATGGTTGAAAGTGAGTATGGAGAAGCATGAATACTAAGGTCTAACAGCGGGTTTCTCTAAATACAATTGAGTTGTGGAGATTAAATACAAAAGTTTAACAATTGGAATAGTGGAGATTACGCATTTTTCATATGCATTTCTCAAGAACTTAGCAAGTGCAAGTCGCCTGAAGTCGTTCTTAATAACTTAACGAATGCCTTTCCTCTAATGAATTTCCTACGCCATAGCAAATATCTTTCTTCTTAAATTGTTCCTATCAGTTCAACAAATACCATTCTCGTAATGTCTTTCGTAATAACAGTAAATGTCTTTCCTCTAATGTCGTTCCTACCAGCTCAAAAAATACCCTTCTCCTAATGTCTTTCCAAATAACTTCAAGAATGCCTTCAATCTAACATTGCTACACATTGTTTGACGCTTATCTTTCTACGAATACTGTTCCCAGTAGCTTTGCCCACCTTAACTCATACAAATAACAATAAAATCAGGAGGGGAGGGTAAAAATTTAAAAACAACTGCGGAGCTGTTCAATAGGAATTCCTTACTAAACCATTTAGTGGATGAGCGCATCGAAGTAATAACTGCGAAACGATATAAATGCACTGAATGTACACCGATAATACACATGCACTAAATGTACACCGATGTACACAGAAATCCCATGAAAATCACGGCCACAAATAATTAGCACAAACCTGAGCACCGAAATTGTGTCCGAGTTCATGAGCAAAAGTTATTTCTGAAACCCTAGAGGGAACTTGTTTGTTATAGTTGATGAAAGTCACCAATCCTGTGTTCAAAGTCTTTTTTCGTCCATCTTGGAAGAGTTTGGACGTTTCACAAATACCGCCAGCAACTCCTTCTGTAAAAAAAAACGCACAAAAAGTCAAAAAGGAAATTCTTGGAAAACATCTCAATAATTAGTTGATAGTTCTTTCGGGAAAATGAAATATGGTATGCTCGAGCATACAGAAATCACTACTATAACCTCGTCCCATGCAAGTGACGTTGACCAGTATCTCATTGTGATTGGTCAATTAGTGTTCGAGTGCAAAAGACGTTTCACTACGTGTTTGTAGATGTAGATCGTTCAATTTCGTAGAGTCCTGAGAAGGATTGCTGGTGTTGATGTTGACTGACGTTTTGACATCCTTAGCGGCATTCATCTTCAGAGGGAAGCGTCAATCACAGTCACGTGCCACATTCATTTACTAGAAACTGAAGATAACTACCGCTAAAGCAGTCGAAGCATTAGTCAACCCTAGCACCACATCCTTCCCAGCACTTTACTTACCTGGACGATCAACGTAGCGATATTCCGGCTTCAAAATTATTCGCATTATCAGACGTTCTACTCTCAAATAAATATAAATCAGCTAAACACACGAAAAAGCACACGTGAAAGTCACGTGACCAGTAAAACAAGATCAATGCTAAAGGAAGAACTTTCTATCTACAGTAGTTACGTACTTGGCTCTGCTACCAAGCCAAACCAAGAACGCCATCTTCGAAATCTCGATACGTGAACATGTGAGAGACAAAATCTGTTCCCATCTTTCGAACTGGTCGGCTCCAGCGATATGATATCCAAAACTTCTCAACGCCAATGAATTCCTGAGCATAAGGATTACCCGGTTTTGTTTCATCCTCCGTGTTATTTGCTCGCATGCGAAACCATATCCTGGTGAAACCAAATGAGAGCAGAGGTTTACAAGTGCAAAAGGATGGCGATAACTAACAAACTATTACATGTTTGTGGATGTAGATCCATGTATATTGTCGCATTTGACTCTGAAGATGACTCCTGCTAAGGTTGTCGAAACGTCGGTCAACAACAACAAAAACAGTCCTTCTCAGGACTCTACGAGCCTGGACAATCTACATTTACAAACATGCAACGATACTCCCGGGTTCAAACCATTTAGTTTATTACCAATCTTTTGCCGGTAATAAAAATGACAGAAGAAAACTGACAAAGATTGAGCAAACTATCAAAAAACCTTCAAAGACAATCACTATTACAAATTACGCATGTTGATCTTGTTTTTTATGGTCCTAATAATCCACTTTTAATCCTTCTAGTATAATAAAAAACATGTACTCCAAAAAGCATCATCTTGTAAGATTCGTGTTGTATTAGAGATACGATTGATAAGGCAAAGAGATGAGATTAATATAACTCGAATGTTGATTTTGCAAGATGCGGCTTTTTGAAGTATGTTTTTTAAATTGTCGGCTGGAAAAGATTATTGGACAAATTCTTATAACACAAATCCTTATAATCCATCCTACAACAGCATCAAACAGTTCTTGCTAATGTAATTAATATTATGTTAATGTAATTAAAATTATGTTAATGTATAGGAACGATATTAATGTAATAAGAATCATGTTTGGAATCATTTTAATGTAATTAAAATCATGTTTGGAATCATTTTAATGTAATAAGAATCATCTATGTATGTATTACCAGCTGTCGATTTTCCATTCACAACAAACTCCGTCTCCTTGTAAATTTTGTGAGCTGCCTGTACGTGTTTTGCCATCAATAAAAGAGCTCGTTCTTTTTCTCCACGCGCTCTGTTCTTCGTGAACAAATGATCAGCCTAAATGTGGCAGAATATACGTGTATACATTGAAAATGGACATAGAACGTTGAAAATGTCTGTAGGCCATTTATGTCCACACTATTTACGATAAGCTCACTATGACATTGTATGTTACTTGAAGATTGTCTACTCACCCGTAAATGAAGTTGGCAAATAAGCTGATTATTGGTTGTTGCTATGTTACTTGAAGATTATTGTCTACTCACCCGTAAATGAAGTTGGCAAATAAGTTGATTATTGGTTGTTGCTATGTTACTTGAAGATTATTGTCTGCTCACCCGTAAATGAAGTTGGCAAATAAGCTGATTATTGGTTGTTGCTATGTTACTTGAAGATTATTGTCTACTCACCGTAAATGAAGTTGGCAAATAAGCTGATTATTGGTTGTTGCTATGTTACTTGAAGATTAATGTCTACTCACCCATAAATGAAGTTGGCAAAATAAGCTGATTATTAGTTGTTGCTATGTTACTTGAAGATGTGTCTGCTCACCCCGTAAATGAAGTTGGCAAATAAGTTGATTATTGGTTGTTGCTATGTTACTTGAAGATTATTGTCTGCTCACCCGTAAATGAAGTTGGCAAATAAGTTGATTATTGGTTGTTGCTATGTTACTTGAAGATTATTGCCTGCTCACCCATAAATGAAGTTGGCAAATAAGTTGATTATTGGTTGTTGCTATGTTACTTGAAGATTATTGTCTGCTCACCCATAAATGAACTTGGCAAATAAGCTGATTATTGGTTGTTGCTATGTTACTTGAAGATTATTGTCTACTCACCCGTAAATGAAGTTGGCAAATAAGCTGATTATTGGTTGTTGCTATGTTACTTGAAGATTATTGTCTGCTCACCCGTAAATGAAGTTGGCAAATAAGCTGATTATTGGTTGTTGCTATGTTACTTGAAGATTATTGTCTGCTCACCCATAAATGAAGTTGGCAAATAAGTTGATTATTGGTTGTTGCTATGTTACTTGAAGATTATTGTCTGCTCACCCGTAAATGAAGTTGGCAAATAAGCTGATTATTGGTTGTTGCTATGTTACTTGAAGATTATTGTCTGCTCACCCGTAAATGAAGTTGGCAAATAAGCTGATTATTGGTTGTTGCTATGTTACTTGAAGATTAATGTCTACTCACCCGTAAATGAAGTTGGCAAATAAGCTGATTATTGGTTGTTGCTATGTTACTTGAAGATTATTGTCTGCTCACCCGTAAATGAAGTTGGCAAATAAGCTGATTATTGGTTGTTGCTATGTTACTTGAAGATTATTGTCTGCTCACCCGTAAATGAAGTTGGCAAATAAGCTGATTATTGGTTGTTGCTATGTTACTTGAAGATTAATGTCTACTCACGTAGAAATGAAGTTGGCAAATAAGCTGATTATTGGTTGTTGCTATGTTACTTGAAGATTATTGTCTGCTCACCCGTAAATGAAGTTGGCAAATAAGCTGATTATTGGTTGTTGCTATGTTACTTGAAGATTATTGTCTACTCACCCGTAAATGAAGTTGGCAAATAAGTTTATTATTGGTTGTTGCTCTTTTGTGGCGATGATGGACTTTCTCCACATCTTCTTGGTAAACACCTTGAGGCACTTCTCTGGCTTTCTCCATCCAGTTTCTTGTTTTGTCGCTGAGATCAACATTGCTGCCATATGCATACGGGTAGTTAAGGTCAGAGGCCTTGTAGATTACAGAATGAAAATTCTTCTTGTCTTGAAAGTGGTCTAAACTGGGCTCAATGTGATATTCGGTCTTCAAGTTTATCTGAAAATCTCACTTTGCCTTCAAACAAACCATTGTGAATAAAACCCATGAACGAATGAGTGGGGTGGCCTACAAAGAATGTTTTATTTTGCATAATATTCAAAATATTCATGAGAGTTGGTCAGATAGTTCAAACATCCATAACAAGCAAGTTTTTGTGAACCGTTCAAAAGTTTGCAAAAATGCCATGGTTCTTCTAGTTTTTCTATAAAAATCATTTATCACCCCTCATATAAGAGCTAAAAACAATTCAGGAAGGGAACTTTAACAGGAAACCTAGTGCATGTAGCGCTCATCAAAATGTTAACAATTTTTGGACTAAATTACTTTCTCCCCAACTTACCTTCAGCATGGCCCTTGTAAACCTTACTCGGATCAAATTCCGGGTCCACATCCAAATCTGGAGCAAATATTGTTGTGTCTCGTTTCAATCGTAAATTGAACTTCCTATGAACAATACATGCATAAGATTTGATGCGGTAAACTTTGGAGGAAGGGCACAAAAAACGATGAAGTGTTTTACAAAGACTACAGTAATGAATGGAGAGCTATGTATATTTGAAAAGTCCACAAAATTAATCTCATCGAATTAAATAGTCTTTTATAAATCTCTTTAAAAGTTTAGAAATAAGAGTAATTCTTAAAAGGAGAATGACATGACCATATGAGATTCATTCTCTTGTATTCATTTGGACATTGGCAATATAAAAACAAAAATACAATAACCAAATTACAACTTTGCAATAGTAAATAGTTTATTTTTCCCACCAAAAGCTTTTATAGATAATAGCAATCATGAATAATTGGGGTAAAATAGCAGCAGCCGTTTGAATATATACTTTAACAATTTCATAAGCATACATAAGGTCAGATGCTGGAACTGGTTTTCACTCGCATATAACAGTCATTGGCAAAGGCAAGATTATTACAATGCAAATTATTTGTCAAAATTATTATTCATTTATTTGGAAAATTAATTCCATTTATTGTTTTTCCCTTGATTGAACACAAAATTATTTGCATTGTGGGAGTATAACGAACTGGCTTGCGATAATTAATTTGATGTGCCATTGTACCTTTGAGGAAAACGTAATATTTCAAAATAAAATTACAATATTGACAACAAAACAAAAAAAACAATACTTGTGATACCTGGGCAACTCGCTCCCTCATGAGGAAGCAACCCAGATAGTTGACAACTTTCTCACGTTTGAATAATTTGGTTGACTCGGCAACATAAGTTTGAAAACTATTATTTCACTTTGTTTTATTTGTAAACCAGAATCCAATAAAACATCCACCGCTTGTTTTTTTTCATTTGCATAAAAATGAACCTTTACCGATTCTCTTTCGTTGCGTCGTAAAGAAAACACGATAAGTCGAGAACCACAATGTTTACATATGCACATAGCTTAACAGAGACTGTGGGAGAGTCGGTTTTGAATTTATATATTACCATTTGTATGAATAGATTCTGACAGCCTGAGTAATTTTTGAAACAGAGCGAATAAAAAGATATGAAAACGCACCTTCCGTGAGCCTTGAAGTTGAAATGAAGGATACTTTCATCGCTCAACGAACGACGAACTCTATGATGTTGACTGTCGAGTAGATGTCTATTATAGTTTAGCGGTTCGTAATGTGAAACAAATTCGTTCAAGCGCTCACCTAGAAGTAGAAATAAAATAAGAATTTACAAAAACAAAATATACAGTACCACAATACCATATACCCACCGCAAACGCAGTTCACAACGGACAAAACAAGACTCGCGAGCAGCATCAAGTCCGACATATTAGACCCAATTTAATATGCCCAAGTATACGAATGTTGGCAAACAGGAACTGTTCGGCCCAATATATAAGTAGTCAAAAGCAAATTTATCCTTTAGTACATATGAAAGCTTTTCATGGGATAGTCAAACTTGTTGGATAGTAATGACACTTTAATACTTGAATTTTTCTTTGTTTACTTCTTGTTGGAAACCATTCCCAAAGTCAAAGTTATTATAAATGGCAAAAAAAGCTTAGTCATTGGCTATGACTGATGACTAAAGCCCACACGAGTATGTAATTACGTCACTTAAACACAAGTTACAGCACTTGAGGCTAAATATTGGCTGTTTCGTCGGGAATGTATTATAAAATTTACTCGTTTCAGAGGCTTTCTAGTGACCAATTTTAACTGCTCGTCAAAATCCAAGGATTAATTGTAAAATTGAATGAGAAATTTACAGAATCACGAAAATCTTGCTCATCGACAGGGCAGTCACAGAAACCTCGAAATTTCTGGCATTGTGGGAGGCAACACAACATAATGGGCAATACTAACAGGGGGTGTTTACATGAATCCGGAATGACTTTCAATCCCGATCGAAACGTGATGTGTCCGTGTTTACTTACTCGAACCACATAATACCCATGCCACATGCGTGCTTCGTCATTAATCACAATATCATTCCAGAATGAAACTCAATTCGCGTTTACATGAGATAACAAGTAAATTTCGATCCGGAATAAAACTAGGAATGAACTCGATCCGGATCGAGTTGTGACTCATTCGGATTCATGTAAACATGCAATAGGATTTCTTTTAAAGTGGAATGAGTTCATTCCGGATCGAAACTCATTCCGGATTCATGTAAACACCCCCTTAATACAGAGTAATTTCAACATAGGCGATGTAAGTATCAAATTAAAGCATTTCACAGAATTACACTTACATAGTACAATTGACTGTCACACCTAACAATTTAAATATTTCCCAATTTAAAATTCCTCTCCACCTACGTGACAAGAATGACGATATTCACAAAATTTGTTTTGCAAAATTAAAAACTCAAAATTTAAACCTCGTTAAAATACAGACACCCTTCAAGTTTTCGCTAACCAGACGTGAATATGTCTGAGGATCGACAATCTTGCGAAATCATTGTGGTTTCAATAGTTCCATTCACATCCCAGTTTCCAAAGTCAACCCACACGATTTCCTTGGGATGCGTCCAGATATATTAGCCAACATCCCGATTGCCCGACTTATATTTAAGCATCGCAAATCGTAGCAAGGGAAAAGTAAAAAAGTAGTAATAAAAAAAAAAGCGACTAGTTAAAGTCGTTTTAAGTAGACGTTGAAGTGGAATAAAACACATTCCCAAAAACAAAGACATCTTCCAAACTAAGATACGAGTAATGGGGAAAAAAAGCAAGACAAAATTACTCAATTAGCGACGTTTTGATTCTATTTCGGAATGATTGCGTCATGTTTTCATTATTCATATAACTTTGTATCTTGAGGTTTCAAGATGTCAAGTTTGTTTGTCTGGGTGTGTTTCATCCTATGTAAAGTTACGAAATTTTCCACTGGGAAACATTCAAGTAGAAGTTAAACATAACTACAAATCTAAAAAAAAACAATTGGAAACAAACACGATAACGAACTCTATCACGCGTGACATTGAAAAGGTAACAATGTTTGCGCATGCGTAACAATGATTAGAAATGTAACGGTGACGTCATACACACATTTCAAATTACGATTTATTTTACCGAAGACTATAATTTTCTTTATTATTATATAACTATGTAAACGTTTTTTTAATCCTTTTAGCCCATGATGTGATGGTATTTCTATTTCGTGCAGGTTAAAAATTAACTACGATCTAACACGTTAAATACACTCTCACGTGACCATTGCGATCAGAGAAAAACAAGCTCCATTACTAACAGAGTTTTCTTCCTTTTTCAGGGGGAGAGGGTGGGTTGTGTTGCCTTAACTACCAACGGCAGTGAATTCATGTTTAGGCAAAATAAATGACAGGTGGCTTGCAGCCAATCCGCAATGAGCCCAAAGACAAGGAGATTATCGATTATCGTCATGTTTTTGTAAAGCGAGGTAAATTATTTGAAAACTTCAATCAACATGGTGACCGTTGAAATTCAAAATGCATTGGCTATGAATTTCGAAGAAAAAATCTGCCCAGTCTATAGGTGGATTGCAACCATTCCCCTA